AGATCCATTATGTAACGTTATATGTGAATGCTTTTTTATTTTTTTATTTTTTTATTCTCGTATACTTTTCCGATAAATGTAAACGAGGATGAGACTCCGCGGCCACGACATGTTTTTCCGGCTCTTTCTCTCTCTCTTCCTTGGTTCTCTTTCATTAAAACACTTGTGCGCGAAAAAGTTTCTCTGCGAAGAGGGAAAAAATATCTTCTCCTCTGGTTGGAGAATCGCATGTCCACTGTCGAACCGTCGCTTTCGGTTTTCTCTGTCGCCGGGCTCGCGCCCAACAGTCGGGAGAACACTTTAAGGTGCTCTTCAGAGAGACACGACTGTATAGACGGCGGTGGGGTTGAAAAGCTGGCCGATCGATTCACCACCACCGCCACCACCGACGCAGCTGCTGTCCTCGCATTTCGGGCACGCACTGTTGTGTTACATGCGGTGGAATTGCACGTTAGCGGTGGTCCGCCGTGCACTATAACGAATCTGCTGAACTTTTATCGCAAAAAATTCTCTCTGTTCATCTCTATTTTCTTCTTATTATTATTATTACTGTTGTTTTTTTTCATTTCCCTCTTGGTCGCGAATATCTCTGTACCGAAAAATGTTCACCGCTTACAAAAAATATGTGACCTTCGAGGACGCTTGCTGCATAAGGGTATTCAGGTATAGATACGAAATATTAACATACGCAGTGCTCGCGGAAAATAATCGTCCAAGTTCATTTCAACGGTTTTCATACGTTAGCGATTAATGAAGCATTTACATTCGCAAATCACTCATAAAAGAGTATGTTTCTTTGTGTTATTTCTGATGCATATATGTTGCATTACTTTTCAATGATATTGAATGTTAACATCCGGGCATCATATTTTGAATATGATCAATCCGTTGTATAGAATTGAGAAAATAAGTCTTACTAAGATTTTCTTAAGAAATCGCTCACTATATTGTCCGTTAATTTTTTTTTCTTTTTTTGATCGAGTTTTAAATCTGCTATTGCACTGGCTATGCACTGAATACGGATTGGTGATTTCGAACACTTACTCGAAAAACTATAAAATGTTGATGATTTTTCAAGGTAGATGACATATTAGTATGTAATAAGTAAATAAACAATTTTCCTTTATTGCTTCGCTCATAGAGTACCTTTATTAAGCTTGCATGTACTTGAATCTGTTAAAGGACAACCTGTAGTGTCATCAAATCATCTTTCACTAAAACGCGCTGAAGAGATTCGCGTGTTTTCGTCCACCGGAATACTTTCATGCCTTTGACCGTTACTGACAAATCATAAAAATCTACTGAATAAGTTTTTACAGATACGATAACTTTTATTATTATTGTATTATTTCATATACGTCTATATGGAAACGAGTACGTGTGGACATGTAGGTATATTGCTTCGACAGTAATTCACTTTTTCCATTTTTAATTGCACGCGTCTATACATTGTCTGTTATTTGCGTGTTATGCGTAGGTTTTTTGCATTTTATATGCATTCTTCATTATACGACTGTGGCAGTTCTGCATAAGTGTTGTTTTTCTCTCTCGTCATATAATAAAAATTCTCTTTGTACTGCGGTTCTAGAAAAAAACCTTAGATGTATTAAAGTTATGCGATCGTGTGAAGTATAATATATATTTATATTTCTCGTATTATCTATACGAGCAAACCTCGTTAAATAATATATTTTGCGACTATAGGTGATCTAATATAATATTTATATACCTATTCAAGAGCTGCATTATTCGAGGTTTCTCTAAATTTTCCATTAGTTTGGTCGCCTGGTTGTAATATGTAAGGATAATAATAATAATACAAAAAGAAAAAAAAATACGCAATGTATTTTATTTGTCGGGCTTGTTTTGGTTGTTTTATGATATAATTTTTTTCTCCTACATGCCGCCGCCACAATTATTGGCGAAAAAATAAATTATAAACTGTGGGTTTCTTTTTTTCTTATTTTTATTGGATCTACTAATAAAACTTTGGACTTCATTTACTGTGTAATAAAAAAAAAAAAAAAAATGCCGCCAGACGAATATTTAGTGATGATTATATCATTCATTTAATTATAATTTTATAACCAGTCACGATGTTTTCTTCATAGTCGATGTCGGAGGGTAACACGGTTTTCGTATTTCATTTTACGATCTCGAAAATAATTATGACATTATTTCAAATATAGCGATATTATATTATCAACGAAACACACACACATCATAAGGAAAAGATAAATTAGATCTGCCGAGGTATGTAAAATAAGTTATTAAGATAATCCTTGGCAAAAATGACCTGTACAATTTAAAAGTTTAATCTGACTACAATGAATTATACGACTTTTCCCATTTTCTCTAATTTTCCGCGCCTCTTTCAATCTTTCTATTAATCTGTTCCTCTCGTTTCATTTTTTATTAAATACAAATTTTCATCATTGTGTAATATGAACGAATATATTTCGTTTGATCCTATTTCTTCAAGGACTTATCAAGGAGATTTAATTATAATAATTGGTCTCTGGGCAGTAACCGTAAAAAATTGTCACCGTGGTAAAAATATATTTTTGGGTGGTGCTATGAAGTGGGTTTGACGTATTTTATTTATATATTGTATATATAAATATATTTATACGTGCATTTATGGAGGGGAATTTTGATGTCATTGAAATTTAAAATTAATGTTATTGGATGATCACCTTAAGAAATATATATATACCAGTGAGGCTTATAAAATATTAGTGAAGAGAGCGGCGACAATTATTGTTATAGATTTCCTTAATTATTGATTGGCCGTATTTATCAAGTAATTCATCTTGTTTTCCAAATTATTTTATTTATTATATTATTTTAATTTATATTTTATTGCATATTATTAATATTTATAATTATAGTTTTAACTTGTTTGCGTTTATTTTATTATAATATTTTTAAACCGCGAAAATAATTATAATAGTGGATGCCCAAGTACAAGAATAAGTGCAAAAATAATTATATGGTTAACCCTGTTCATAATAGCGTAATTTGTGTATTGCAAATTATGGCCACTGTTGATGATAAAAATAAAACTTAAATAATTATGTATAAAAAGACTGGATATAATTTTGGGTTACATGCATTTCAATAATAGCTGTTTATACTCATTATATTCATTTATATTTACTCATTTAAAAACATAAATTTACTTAGATCGAGAAATAATTTGAATCCAAAAATTGTAAATTAAATATACAATTTTTTCTAAAATTATTAACTCGACCAGTAATTTTTTCTTTTGGATTCCTGTGCAGAATGTGAATTATCTTAATTAATTACCCGATTGATAATTGTAAAAAGAAAACGTATTTCTGTACAAAAAACAAAAGACGGAAAAAAAAAGTAAAAAAAGAAAAGCTCGTTCTTATTTGTCTTTTGAGTATTGTGCCGAATAGAGGTCGGTGGTTGCGTTGATGAAGGGTTAGCGGGCACTCGACAAAATTAGCGTGTGCATGTACAAACGATGTTTTATGTGTGTGTGTTTTTGTGTTTTGCAACCAATCAAAAGTCCGCGAACAAAAATGGCCGGAAACAATATAACCACATGGCTACGTGTGCACGGCACCCCTTCCCGTTCCACTGTCTGAAATCCATTGCACCACTACGCACTATAAGTCTTCTCTGCAAGCGCATGTATTTGTGAGAAAAAAAAACCTATCGCTACGGCGATAATATCGTTACAGAGTCATTTTTACATGTCTCCGAGCAGTTTTTCCGACCCCCATCGTGAACGCGTTATATATTGTTATTGTTATTATTACTTTTTTCGGTACCTAATATTTTTAATGTCCTGTTCGCGTGCAAGACGCCTGTTAAGTAGCCGGATTTGTGTGCGTTACGTGGAGAGTGGGGTAAGCGCCGACTAATTACAGTGCACTGCCGCCGCCGCTCGAAGTGTACAACTTCATTAAGGCGCGTGGGGGCGGGTTACCCCTCGCACGCCCCTTCGAGATATCCCCTACCGCCGAGATAAGGGTATTAAAAGTCGATTTTCCCAGAAAAAGAATATATGTAACAACACTGCACAGGCTAGTGGTGGTCGTCGTCGTATGTATTGGTTTTGGCTCGTGGGAATTTAATTAATATAAATGGCACTACGAGGGAGTAAACAGATTACGTGTCCCTTTTTCGTACCCGATATTATACGGTATATATATTTATTTATTTATATACGACAACGTTCCGCGTGGGCCCGGGCGTTGCAGTGTGATGGGTTGATTGGTAAAAGTAGAGATGGACGGGATTTTCCTTGGGGGGGGGAGAGAGTATTAACACGCGAAAGGGCGGACGGGCCAATTGCACAAATGAGAAACTCTCGTACGGTCGTTTATACACCGCACCGACGAAATTTATGTTCACCGTCCCTTGTAGCAACGCATTGCTGCTATGCGTTTCCTTCGGTGTATACCTGTACACCTCTCCTTACATTCACAGCCCTTTCGACCGTTTCACATTGTTCTGTTCGGTTTTACACAGGACAAATTCATGATGTATGTGTATATATATATATATATATATATATAGTTTACATATTATACTGATCGACTTACCGAGTCATCTACATCGCTCTATAAAGTATTACGTAGACTTACGATGACTCGGTGTACATAAACGTACACAAGATGAGTATTGTATATTTACTTTTAAAGGATGCTGTAGAGTTTTATTGCGAAATCGTGATTTAATTAGAATAATAAATCGTATTGGCACTACGATGGAATTGCGAAAAATAAATTCAAAACTAATTCAACTCCGCGCTGCGCAATAATAACAAAGGGCCTTAATAACCGTGTACGGATGAAAATAAACATAAAGCTCAACGTCGGACGCTCGAGTTTTTTCCCCCGAAATTAAATTCCAAACAAAAGTTTTTTCCCGAGTAAATAGCATTGTGTATTTATATATTTTAACCAATACTTACGCCCGTGTGCACAAAACATCTATTGAGTCTCGTTTATTTGTTACAGTTGTACTCCTAGACACCACCACCGAGCCCAGTTTACGATGGACAACATATCCTTACGGACCGGACGCTAACGCTGCTGGGGTAAGTCAATATTCTATACATATTATACAGAAACATAGTATAGTACGAGGAGCGTGTGGAGAAAGGGGTACTATGAAGAAAAAATAATAGTTTTACATGTTAGTGTAAACATTTCACTGGTGTGTTTTTCCACTAGATAAAATTTGTATCATAAAAATCTACGACGAAATTATGTGGTGTTATAAAGCTAAATGGACCGGACTACCCGTCGTTTTCGACGTTGCCGGCCTAGACAGAATAGACGCACTGAGCAATAATATACATACATATATATATACGCTTGCGTGGGCGATATGTGTATTTATGTATGTGTCCGTTTTCTTATTTATTTTTATGGGTGAAGAACGATAAAAATGCTTCTGACAACGTATGTAACGGATTAAAATAATCGGGTCTCGTATTATAACGGCGTCGGTCATCTTCGGCGGCTGCGGCGCGATGAAGCCGATGGATTTTCTCGACTTCCCTCTGATCGACTTATATGATCGTTCTCCACTCCGCTGATCTCATATTTTCGGTAATCTTCTTTTACAATTTACCCCTATGTGTAGGAAAAACGAATGCCTTTAACAGAAATAACTCGCTATTCGGTATGGAGCCGACACCTTTGTCTATAAATACTCTTTGTATAGATAAAATAACATACATACGTACAGCCCTCAAGGCTAAACCATTGACTTTTGTTCTTTCTTTTACGTTGGTTGGCGTTAATTGTATAGGTTATATTTCATCGTATAATACCTTACTAATCATCAATATCAATACATTTACGAATTTCAAGTATTATTTGGACATAGAACCTGTTCTTTTAATTATTCAATTATTATTCTGTATTTGTTTGTTGAAAATCTTTACTAAGTTTATGTGAAAACATAATTTATTTAAGCAACATTTAGAATTGTTATCCGTGTACAAAAGTAGTGTTAATTAGAATACAGTTAAATTTTTAACGTCCCTCAAGGCACAAGAATTCACAATAAAACGAGGTCGACTACCTGTCAAAAGTGACATATTTCTGGGAGAAAAGAAATTAATTAACGTTTATTTCCCGTCTCGCAAGCAACACCTGTATTGATGTTCACGCCGCCGACGCTGATATATCCTGTCAATTGGTTTCGAAACACATTTTCCTTGCCATATTTTCGGATGTTTAAATACGTGTAGAGCAGTAGAGCCGTCGTTGACGACCCCTCTCACAAACTTGTAAAAAGGGTTTTAGAAACTTTGTCGGAAACAAGTTTTACGTTTCAATACGTCGTACATAGTGCTTGTATTATGTAGTCGTTACTCCGTTTACATCACGGATACGAGACTAAACGATCGTGAGCGACAAATTCAGTGATGTATTTAAACAATATCATGCGTATGATGGGACGTAGTCCGATTGTCGTCTTGATTAGTCCATATCCGTATAGCATTGCTAACGTGCACACACAGATTTATGTTCTTGGATAAATATCGATTTTTGTTTCAATAAAATATGACGATGACGTGGTTATAATGTCTCTTAACGCTTGATTCTGAAACTTTTAATATTATTGTAATACGATTCCCACAGCCAGCGCCGTTTTTCTTTGTGTACTGGTTTTTTCGTGCCTGCCATGTGTACGGAACGGAAACGACTTCGATTTCGGTCCGTCAGGTCCACTTGATGTCCCACTATGTACTCGCCGTCGTGTCGGCCTTCTCCCCGCGGTTTGCATGCACATGAAATCGAATTATGTTATTATTTCATATTTCGCCCCCTCCTGTGTACTAAAACGTGCAACAATTTCCCTATTTTTTTTTCGTACTCACCAGTTTTCTCCCGTTGCACTCCACAAACACCGCAAATTATATCGCATTGCGCGACCTATGCGTTTTTTGTACATACACCTTTATTATGTTATACGCGTAACAGGGACCCGCCCCAACTAGTCCCCGTGTACACTCCACCCTACGCCAATGTGTAATTTATCTTGTGTATAATATAATATATATATATTTATACTCAGTGCGTGTATGCATGCTGCAGCAGTATTACGTGTAAAAATATATGTATATATATTTACGTATAGGTACTCGCAGAGAGGGTATCGGATTTTCTTGAAGGAGGTAACGATTTTTTACAACTGTGCATATCGGCTGTCCGAGAGAGATGTCGGTCGAGTCGTGGAAGGGTTAAAGGGAATAAAATAGATCGAGAGGGTAATCCGATCGGTAAAATGGCGCGCGATAGACCTGCGCGCGTCTGCTGCGAGCCGTATGCGTTTGTTGTATTATGTGTATTATGTACGCGTTTGATGGACAGGAAGCCGTAGGATTTTTTTTTATTTTCGGACACGCGTCGTATAAATAAGCGCTCGTGTGTGGTGTCGTTGCCGAAGGCTGTGTAAAAGTGGGCGTGATGGCTAAGTCCAATTAAAAACGTGGTCTTCTGCATGCTCTCTGTCTCTCTCACTCTCTCTCTTCGACTACGACGACGATATAAGTAAACGTGCTCGGAATTCCCTCGTGTGCCATGTGTACAAAGTACCCCCAACGTATAAATACTTATTACGTGCACAGAGAATCGTCCCCGTGTAGTTCCATGCCTTATATGTATGTATATTGTCATCTAGGGGCCCCTCGCGAAATCGCCGCACACCATCTTCTTGTGCAGCTTTCGTTGTCGAGCCTGAGAGACAATATACATATACTAGGATCTAAAATGGTATGTACTGCAAAACACTTTGTATAAACTTGTGTATAACTTAGTGGTATAAAAAGTGAAGTGTGTACACGATGAAATTTGAAAGTGTGTAGTAAATATTTTTATCTTTTTCGAAATACTCGTGTTATTGAAAAATACAACATAGAAGTCTGTTAAGCGTTTCACGGGTTATAATATTGATCGTATATTTTTTATAAATAAACTTAATAAAACATGAAGTCTTTAATGAGTTCAAAAAATATGTTTAAAAAATATATATTTATTGAACCAAAAAACTATTACTTACGTTGTATTTATACAAATAACATAAAATCAGTTTATAAAGAAAATAGCTTTTCAGCCGTTTGCCTAGTCTTTCTTCCTTTGGTAAACACTAACTACTCACTTACAAGCATTTAATTAAAATGTATAGTGCGTTGTACGAAAAATCGAAAATATTAGTCCATGTATGTGCACTCGTGTTCAACGCATATTCGTGTTCCCTGGAAGCACATGCACGCGTCACCCTTTCATCACTTCAAGAAGAAAATCGTGCTTTGTTCACGAAATTCTGCTGCAGATCCTTTTACCATACATATTACAATGGTATAGTATATTTATTTAAGTTGTACGCGTGTTTGTAAAAATGAATCTCGCGCAATTGTCGTATCCATTATCGTCGCTCTCGTCGCCGTTGTCGCGCACAAGGAACACGCGCTATAATAATATTAATATTAATAAAATACTCTCGTGCGTACGCGTTGACGTTGTTGGAGATTTTGATTTTTAAATTTTCGACACGTGCTATGATTATTATTACAATGCTTGTATGTGTGTGTGTGTATGTTTATTGTAATACGTTTTATTTTACATCGTCGCGTACACAATTTGTTCGGTGTGGTGTGTAAATAACGAATTATTACTTCGATTAACAATAATGTGTGTACGGCCGCGCGTGTATTTGTACGAAACAAGCGTAGTAAATTTCTTTCTACGTTCACGCGCATATTAACATAACCGTCAATTACGCCCGTCAACGCCGATGTGCATTTTATTCTAATGTCAATTACAATACGCGTGTATACATATATATACCATTTATGAATATAAAGTCACCTCTGGTGACAGTCGTTATATAAAATTTTAAATTATACATAGGAATAATAAGTAATATAATGCACCGATGACTGCAGTCATCAACTATAATTTATTATATATGTTTATGCATCACACGTTCACTAAATGTTGTACACCGTTTATAATGCATTTGTGATAATTCACATATGTCCAGAGGGCAGATCTTGGATTTATTTCTGTGGAGAGGATACTTCTCTGAAAATATTTCTACAAAAATAAATAATAAATTCAGCTAGTCGTATTGGTATGGAAACACATATAATGACCGAATATATTTATGACACTTATTAAAATTGTATTACTTTTATTCTTCATGCTAATTAATGTTTCATATGATATCAGTTTTTTACAACGAAAATGTCGCAATTATTTTAAATATGAATATTGGTTTAATTTGATAACAGTTAAGAAGGTAGAAATAAGCTCTATTAATTTATGAAATTTCAAGTCAAACAGTCACAGTATTTTTTCAATCTTTCCTCATCAGAACAGTCCGATATAAAATAATTTACTAAATATTCTAATATATCATAATCCAATTATTATCCATTATAATAACCCATAAGTGTGTCTAATCCATTGTCTTATTTCAGATGTCATTATTAATTTTTCATTTTTTCCCTTTATTGTAAAGTAAAAATATTTTAATAAATACAAATTTAAATTTAAATTTTGAAAGAAAACTGATCTGGCCGAAAAGGGAAAGTTCATTTTTACCGAAAGAGGACCACCCGTTTTAAGGCATGGGTATAATATTATGTTATGTTATTATTAAACAATTTTCACAATTTCAAGAAACTAGATAATAACGCACTTTAATTTTAACTTATATTTAATCGATTTATTAAAATTATGAAATTGGTACTTATGTAGGAGAGGATTGAAAATTTAACCTCCCCTCCTCCTATACATAAATAAATAAATAAATGTTTACCTGGCTACGTCACCGTTTACAACTGCATGCCTACTATAATGTACTATAGTGTACTGTTAATTCGTGAATTGCTAAAAATAATTCACGTTTTCGTCCTCGAAGTGAAGAGTTCAGGGTGATCTGATGTTGTAAAACTATGACCGATCAACATAGATGTCGTAGTTTAAGAAAACATGTGGTTTCTATTACATATTTTTAAATAATTTTTTTCCATTTGCAATATTTACCCACTCACGTCATTTATGAATTTCATATTTA